GACTGCGCAGAGTCCATACATACAGAACGGGGACAGATACTGAGAATGACACCCGGCATCCGGGACAGGAGAAGTGGGACTGTGCAGAGTCCATACATACAGAACAGGGACAGATACTGAGAATGACACCCGGCATCCGGGACAGGAGAAGCGGGACTGTGTGCAGTCAGTCGTGGACTGTGTTGCAGTCGGTGGGGTCACAGGGGGTCGCCTCTCATGGCGCACTCCATATTAGGACACGCTCAGCTCTCTCACACAGGTATGGCGTCACCTGTAGGTGAGTCATGTGATCCCAGCATGCATTGCGCACAGTGAGGGCGCCCCGTCGGCTCCTTGGATCTCCTTTTCAGGATCAGCCGGGTGAAGGATGATGTCAGCTGTCGCCATCAATCCTCTACCAGCCCTCCTGGGAGGCGGCTCCATGCACCTCCGATACTACAACCCTAAAGGCGTCACTCCGGGCCGTTCATCGCAGCGCTGCGACGGATTTCGCACTTCAACATTCTAACTTCACGGTTCGAGCTCCCGGCACCCGAACGATTGTACATGAACGAGGACAACTGGAAGCGGCAGATTGGCTGCGGAACATTTTGGAGCTTCGAGCGTTAAGTCGGAACTGAACGGCATCTGAGAATCGCAAAACCAAAAACACGATTTATTGTTCACCGCAAACTCCCCGATCCGTTCATTACTCCATGCTCCATATTGCTGAAAAATCACCCCCCCCCTCCCCCTCTAGAATTTCTAGCCAGGGCCATCTTGGATAAGGGCAGGTTATCCATGTAGCATTTACTTCCTGGAATCCATCTGCCCTTAGCTCAGGCATGCAGGCAGGAGGGTGTGAGAAAGTCCCTCCTCCCATAATGACTGCTATGATGTAGCCTAGGCCAGAAATCGGGGAGTGACTGCAGAAATGTACAAATAATAGAGGGACGGAGGGGGGGGGATGGGGGTATAATAGAGGGAAGGAGGGAGGGGGATCGGGGGGTATAATAGAGGGACGGAGGGGGGATGGGGGTATAATAGAGGGAAGGAGGGGGGATCGGGGGGTGTAATAGAGGGACGGAGGGGGGGGATGGGGGTATAATAGAGGGACGGAGGGAGGATCGGGGGTATAATAGAGGGACGGAGGGGGGGGATGGGGGTATAATAGAGGGACGGAGGGGGGATGGGGGTATAATAGAGGGACGGAGGGGGGATGGGGGTATAATAGAGGGACGGAGGGGGGATGGGGGGTATAATAGAGGGACGGAGGGGGGATGGGGGTATAATAGAGGGACGGAGGGGGGATGGGGGGGTATAATAGAGGGACGGAGGGGGGAGGGGGATGGGGGGGGATGGGGGTATAATAGAGGGACGGAGGGGGGGATGGGGGTATAAAGAGGGACGGATGGGGGTATAATAGAGGGACGGAGGGGGGAGGGATGGGGGTATAATAGGGACGGAGGGGGTATAATAGGGGGGATGGGGGGGGATGGGGGTATAATAGAGGGACGGAGGGGGGGGGATGGGGGTATAATAGAGGGACGGAGGGGGGGGGTATAATAGGGGAGGAGGGGGGGATATAATAGAGGGACGGAGGGGGGATGGGGGGGTATAATAGAGGGACGGAGGGGGGATGGGGGTATAATAGAGGGACGGAGGGGGGATGGGGGTATAATAGAGGGACGGAGGGGGGATGGGGGTATAATAGAGGGACGGAGGAGGGGGGATGGGGGTATAATAGAGGGACGGAGGGGGGGGGGGGTATAATAGAGGGACGGAGGGGGGATCGGGGTATAATAGAGGGACGGAGGGGGGATGGGGGTATAATAGAGGGACGGAGGGGGGGGATCGGGGGTATAATAGAGGGACGGAGGGGGGATGGGGGGGTATAATAGAGGGACGGAGGGGGGATGGGGGTATAATAGAGGGACGGAGGGGGGGGGGGGTATAATAGAGGGACGGAGGGGGGATGGGGGTATAATAGAGGGATGGAGGGGGGATGGGGGTACAATAATAGAGGGACGGAGGGGGGATGGGGGTATAATAGAGGGACGGAGGGGGGATGGGGGTATAATAGAGGGAACGGAGGGGGGATGGGGGTGTAATAGAGGGACGGAGGGGGGATGGGGGGTATAATAGAGGGACGGAGGGGGGATGGGGGTATAATAGAGGAACGGAGGGGGGATGGGGGTATAATAGAGGGACGGAGGGGGGATGGGGGTATAATAGAGGGATGGAGGGGGGATGGGGGTACAATAGAGGGACGGAGGGGGGATGGGGGCATAATAGAGGGACGAGGGGGGGTTTTATGGGGGTGTAATAGAGGGACGGAGGGGGGATGGGGGTGTAATAGAGGGATAGGGGGGGGGGGTATAATAGAGGGGGTGGGGGATGGGGGTGTAATAGAGGGACGGAGGGGGGATGGGGGTGTAATAGAGGGACGGAGGGGGGATGGGGGCATAATAGAGGGATGGAGGGGGGGATGGGGGTGTAATAGAGGGACGGAGGGGGGATGGGGGGGTATAATAGAGGGACGGAGGGGGGATGGGGGTATAATAGAGGGACAGAGGGGGGATTGGGGGGGTATAATAGAGGGACGGAGGGGGGGATTGGGGGGTATAATAGAGGGACGGAGGGGGGATGGGGGGTACAATAGAGGGACGGAGGGGGGGTGGGGGTATAATAAAGGGACGGAGAGGGGGGGTGGGGGTATTATTATTATACAGTATTTATAAAGCGCCGATACTTGGCTCAGCGCTGTACATTACAGAGGGGGACAGAACAATACCAATACAATGTGATACACGAGGGGATTGAGGGCCCTGCTCTTTCGAGCTTACAATCTTGGGGGGGTATAATAGAGGGACTGAGGGGGGATTGGGGGGTATAATAGGAGGGACGGAGGGGGGATTGGGGGGGTATAATAGAGGGACTGAGGGGGGATTGGGGGGAATAATAGAGGGACTGAGGGGGGATTGGGGGGTATAATAGGAGGGACGGAGGGGGGATGGGGGGGTATAATAGGAGGGACGGAGGGGGGTATAATAGGAGGAGGACGGAGGGGGGATTGGGGGGATTAATAGGAGGGACGGAGGGGGGGATTGGGGGGGTATAATAGGAGGACGGAGGGGGGAATAATAGAGGGACGGAGGGGGGGGAATAATAGAGGGACGGAGGGGGGGGGATGGGGGGGTATAATAGAGGGACGGAGGGGGGGATGGGGGGGTATAGTAGAGGGACGGAGGGGGGGATTGGGGGGTATAATAGGAGGACGGAGGGGGGATTGAGGGGTATAATAAAGGGACGGAGGGGGGGATGGGGGGGTATAATAGAGGGACGGAGGGGGGGATGGGGGGGGTATAATAGAGGGACGGAGGGGGGGGGAATAATAGAGGGACGGGGGGGGTCCATAATATAATAGAGGGACGGAGGGGGGGGGATGGGGGGGTATAATAGAGGGGACGGAGGGGGGATGGGGGGGTATAATAGAGGGATGGAGGGGGGATGGGGGGGTATAATAGAGGGACGGAGGGGGGATGGGGGGGTATAATAGAGGGACGGCGGGGGGATGGGGGGGTATAATAGAGGGACGGAGGGGGGTATAATAGAGGGACGGAGGGGGGATGGGGGGGGTATAATAGAGGGACGGAGGGGGGATGGGGGGGTGTAATAGAGGGACGGAGGGGGGATGGGGGGGTATAATAGAGGGACGGAGGGGGGGATGGGGGGGTGTAATAGAGGGACGGAGGGGGGATGGGGGGGTATAATAGAGGGACGGAGGGGGGATGGGGGGGTGTGTAATAGAGGGACGGAGGGGGGATGGGGGGGTATAATAGAGGGACGGAGGGGGGATGGGGGGGTGTAATAGAGGGACGGAGGGGGGATGGGGGGTATAATAGAGGGACGGAGGGGGGATGGGGGGGTATAATAGAGGGACGGAGGGGGGATGTGGGGGGGGTATAAATAGAGGGACGGAGGGGGGATGGGGGGGTATAATAGAGGGACGGGGGGGGATGGGGGGGTATAATAGAGGGACGGAGGGGGGATGGGGGGGTATAATAGAGGGACGGAGGGGGGATGGGGGGGTATAATATAGAGGGACGGAGGGGGGATGGGGGGGTATAATAGAGGGACGGAGGGGGGATGGGGGGGGGGTATAATAGAGGGACGGAGGGGGGGGGTGTAATAGAGGGGACGGAGGGGGGGGGTGTAATAGAGCGGGGACGGGGGGGGGGTGTAATAGAGGGACGGAGGGGGGATGGGGGGTATAATATAGAGGGACGGAGGGGGGATGGGGGGGTATAATAGAGGGACGGAGGGGGGATGGGGGGGTGTAATAGAGGGACGGAGGGGGGATGGGGGGGTATAATAGAGGGACGGAGGGGGGGGGTTGTAATAGAGGGACGGCGGGGGGATGGGGGGGGTAATAGAGGGACGGAGGGGGGGTTGTAATAGAGGGACGGCGGGGGGATGGGGGTGTAATAGAGGGACGGAGGGGGCTGGGGATGGGGGTGTAATAGAGGGACGGAGGGGGGGGGGTATAATAGAGGGACGGAGGGGGGATGGGGGTGGGTATGTATAATAGAGGGACGGAGGGGGGATGGGGGGGGTGTAATAGAGGGACGGAGGGGGGGGGGTATAATAGAGGGACGGAGGGGGGGGTATGGGGGGGTGTATAAATAGGGGACGGAGGGGGGATGGGGGGGTATAATAGAGGGACTATATAAGTGTAATAATTAACCCCTGCAGGACGCCATTAGTGGAATGCAGCCGCTCTGGGCCGAGGAGCTGACAGTCCGGAGAGGTACATGACGTTCCCTGACTTGAGCTCCCCTGCAGGGGGTCGGAGCCCAGAACTTGTTGTTGTTGTTGTACATGATGTGGCTGCAGGCAGCATTCTAGAGATAGCCCCTCCCACCTGGGGGTGGATGCTGGGAGTGGCTGGTGTAATGATGTCACCTGACACTTATAAGCAGAAGTCTCCTCCGCCCCCTCGCTCAGTGGTGTCGGTGAGCGGTGACGATGAACAGCCTCTGTACTCTGCAGCAGCTCCAGCCGGAGAGAGCGAGGCGGGTGAGATCCTCATTGTATTTATATGACTCCTTATTATACCGGGATAGAGCTCTGACCTATACCAGAGCGCAGTACAGAGAGCACCGAGCCAGTCCTATCTGTACAGAGGAGCTTACACTCTAATGTCCCCTCCCCCACAGTCACATCAGTCTCTGTACAGAGGAGCTTACACTCTAATGCCCCCTCCCCCACAGTCACATCAGTCTCCGTACCAGAGGAGCTTACACTCTGATGTCCCCTCCCCCGCGCAGTCCCATCAGTCTCTGTATAGAGGAGCTTACACTCTAATGTCCCCTCCCCCACAGTCCCATCAGTCTCTGTACCAGAGGAGCTTACGCTCTAATGTCCCCTCCCCCACAGTCCCCATCAGTCTCTGTACAGAGGAGCTTACGCTCTAATGTCCCCTCCCCCGCACAGAGTCCCCCATCAGTCTCTGTACCAGAGGAGCTTACGCTCTAATGTCCCCTCCCCACAGTCCCCATCAGTCTCTGTACAGAGGAGCTTACGCTCTAATGTCCCCTCCCCCGCAGTCCCATCAGTCTCTGTACCAGAGGAGCTTACGCTCTAATGTCCCCTCCCCCGCAGTCCCATCAGTCTCTGTACAGAGAGGAGCTTACACTCTGATTGTCCCCTCCCCCACAGTCCCATCAGTCTCTGTACAGAGGAGCTGACACTCTAATGGTTGGGTCAGGGCTCTGTATAGGATGCGGCTCGGTCTGTCATGGTGTTGGTAGGTCAGTACTGGAGGTTGTATTGGTTGTGTAGTCTGTATATAGAGGTCGGTGTACATATTATATACAGAGTTCGGGGGGAGGGGGGGGGGGTGATGAGGATAGTGGGGTACACCTGCCCCCCCCCCCCAATAGATGGTCTCAGTCCTCAGATTAGGAGTCTCGGCAATGAGCCGCCATCACACAGATACTTGAAGGGATCTTCCGATGAGTAATCCACCAACTCCTCCTTGTTGGGGGGGATTTCACCGCGACGCACACAGACGGGTAATACCGGGGACACCGACCTGTCTGGGGGGGGGGGGGGGGGTGGGGGTGTCTATGGCGGGTGTCAGTAAAATAGATTTTTTTCTAAAAAAGAATGACGAACTCTGAAAATGTTGACATTTCTGCAAAGCAAAGACTCCGCGTGTCACTTCTTGTGGAATTTGTGTGTGTGGGGTGGGGGGGGGGGGGATTAGTTTTGCAACATCATCTGAAGGTGAATGATTTTTGTGTAAATTCTCCGTTCTCGCACTTGAGACACCCAATGAGAGGATTTTGGTTGTTTTTTTTTCCTGCCTGTCAATGTTGTCACCTAAGATGGGGGGGGGGATGGAGAGGAAATGAATTATTATAAAAAGTTACGATTTTGTTTAAAAGACTATTAAATATTTTGTCCAATTTTGACAAATATTTTAAAATTTTCGAGGTTCATAAAAATCTGCATCTGGAAAATGTAACAATATTCGTCAGAATTGGACAAACTTTTCATTTTTAGGGCTGATAAATTGTCGCATTTTAAATGTCAAAAATGAGAAACGTCCGGATGGGTGGTCACCGTTCTCCTCCTGGCGCTCCGAGCTCCTCCAACGCGTCATTTCTCTCCTTTCTAAATATTCGTTTATCGTGTCGTCATTTCTGTGGGACTTATCGGAAGGTTATTGATCAGCCAAATAATTTGCCCTTTGCTGCTGTTTTCCTTCGGGCCCATTTACTCCTTTGCGGTGCGTCAAAGTGCATTGCGGTAGGTCGCGCTTCGTTGTGTTACGTTGGGTTAGGTCGTGCGTCAAAGTGCGTTGCGTTGCGTTACAATGTGTGTTGAAGTGCGTCGCGTTAGGTTGTACATCAAAGTGCATTGCGGTAGGTCGCGCTTCGTTGTGTTACGTTGTGTGTAGAAGTGCGTTGCGTTAGATCGTGCGTTGCGTTAGGTTGTGCGTCGCGTCAGGTCGTGTGCTGAAGTGCATTGCGTGGAGGTCGTGCGTCATGTGTTGGGTTGTGTGTTGAAATGCGTTGCATGGAGGTCATGTGTCGGAGTGCGTTGCGTTAGTCGTGCGTCAAAGTGCGTTGCGTTAGGTTGTGTTGAAGTGCGTTGCGTTAGGTCGTGTGTCGAAGTGCGTTGCGTTAGTCGTGCGTCGAAGTGCGTTGCGTTAGTCGTGCGTCGAAGTGCGTTGCGTTAGTCGTGCGTCGAAGTGCGTTGCGTTAGTCGTGCGTCGAAGTGCGTTGCGTTAGTCGTGCGTCGAAGTGCGTTGCGTTAGTCGTGCGTCGAAGTGCGTTGCGTTAGTCGTGCGTCGAAGTGCGTTGCGTTGTAGTCGTGCGTCGAAGTTGCGTTGCGTTGCGTCGTGCGTCGAAGTGCGTTGCGTTAGTCGTGCGTCGAAGTGCGTTGCGTTAGTCGTGCGTCGAAGTGCGTTGCGTTAGGTCGTGCGTCGAAGTGCGTTGCGTTAGGTCGTGCGTCGAAGTGCGTTGCGTTAGGTCGTGCGTCGAAGTGCGTTGCGTTAGGTCGTGCGTCGAAGTGCGTTGCGTTAGGTCGGTGCGTGAAGCGTCGAAGTGCGTTGCGTTAGGTCGTGTGTCGAAGTGCGTTGCGTTAGGTCGTGCGTCGAAGTGCGTTGCGTTGGGTCGTGCGTCGAAGTGCGTTGCGTTGGTCGTGCGTCGAAGTGCGTTGCGTTAGGTCGTGCGCGTCGAAGTGCGTTGCGTTGGGTCGTGCGGCGAAGTGCGTTGCGTTGGGTCGTGCGTCGAAGTGCGTTGCGTTGGGTCGTGCGTCGAAGTGCGTTGCGTTAGGTCGTGCGTCGAAGTGCGTTGCGTTACGTTGTGCGTTGCATTAGGTCAGCCCATTGACACAAATGGCCTTCCAAGACACCCTGAAACCAGAGGTGACCCTATCTCTGCATGGCGATGCACCGCTGTGAGTTATGGCGTGCCGTAAAGCAGGTGCCTCGTCTCCGCGCCATTTAAATGTGACCGCGGTGCGTTCGTATAAACGTGTTCCCGATCAGCCGCTACTTTTTTGAGGCTCACAGTGGGGAAAAATGTGAAAAAATTCACAGATTAGCGAGAAAATAAGCTGAGATGCAGCAAGCAGAGAACTCAAACTTCGTCTCTTGGGAAAGGTCAGAACATGAAGAAGGCGTACAAACTCCATGCAGATGGGGAACAAACGGCGAACCCCGGTGCTGCAAGGCGAGAGGGCCCGAACGCACAGCCGGGGACATTGCAGAGCGAGGAGTGAGCGCTCCGCACTTTGCCTGGGGTGCAGTCTGGGACGTGGGTTATGAATCACCTTGGAATGGAAGCGGGGCTCTCTGATTGGCTGACGGACATAATGATTATATTCAGCAGAACATACCTGCGGTCTCAGGCAGGTTTGTACAATATGAGATCCTTATTATACAGGATTTGTATGGTGCCAACAGTGTGAGTGGCGATGTACAATACAAAGGGAGGAAATACAGAGCATTCCAATAGGAGGGCGAGGAGGACTCCCGCTCAGGAGGAGTCACCGTCCATGACGGAGGAGATCGGTACAATCCGGTATATAAAATGTACAGTGAAGGAAATGCGTATTTACCCCCCCCCCTGATGCTGAATGTTCGCCCCTCACACAGAAATGATCGGTCTAACAATGGAATGTTCGCCCCTCAACACAAACGATCGTCTAACAATGGAATTTTCGCCCCTCATACAAACGATCGGTCTAACAATGGAATGTTCGCCCCTCACACAGAAATGATCGGTCTAACAATGGAATGTTCGCCCCTCACACAGAAAAACGATCGGTCTAACAATGGAATGTTCGCCCCTCACACAGAAACGATCGGTCTAACAATGGAATGTTCGCCCCTCACACAGAAACGATCGGTCTAACAATGGAATGTTTCGCCCCTCACACAGAAATGATCGGTCTAACAATGGAATGTTCGGTGTAACACTGAGAGACAGAATACAACAACAAAATCAGCAGAAATGCGTCTAACAAATGATGACGGATCTGCATGTTCATGAGGGAAAGAAGGATTGATCCCCTTCACAAAACATGACTTAGTACTTGGTGGCCAATCCCTTGTTGGCCATCACAGAGGTCAGACGTTTCCTGGAGTTGGCCCCCAGGTTCGCACACATCTCAGGAGGGATTTTGGCCCACTCCTCTTGGCAGATCCTCTCCAAGTCATTAAGGTTTGGTGGCTGACTGTTTGGCAACTCGAACTTTCAGCTCCTCCACAGATTTTCCATCGGATGAAGGTCTGGAGACTGGCTAGGCCACTCCAGGACCTTAATGTGCTTCTTCTTGAGCCGCTCCTTTGTTGCCTTGGCCGTGTGTTTTTTTGGTCATTGTCATGCTGGAACACCCATCCACCACCCATTTTCAATGCCCTGGCTGAGGGAAGAAGGTTCTCACCCAAGATTTGAGGGTACATTGCCCCGTCCATCGTCCCTTTGATGCGGTGCAGTTGTCCTGTCCCCTTAGCAGAAAAACACCCCCCAAAGCAGAATGTTTCCACCACCATGTTTCACAGTTGGGATGATGTTCTTGGGGTCATAGGCAGCATTCCTCCTCCTCCAAACACGGCGAGTTGAGTTGATGCCAAAGAGCTGGATTTTGGTCTCCTCTGACCACAACACTTCCCACCAGTCCTCCTCTGCATCATTCAGATGTTCAGTGGCAGACTTCAGACGGGCCTGGACATGGGCTTTCTTGAGCAGAGGGACCGTGCGGGCACTGCAGGATTTCAGTCCTTGTCGGCGTAGTGTGTTACCAATTGTTTTCTTGGTGACTGTGGTCCCAGCTGCCTGGAGATCATTGACAAGATCCTCACGTGTAGTTCTGGGATGATTCCTCACTGTTCTCATGATCATGACACTCCACGAGGTGAGATCTTGCATGGTGCACCAGACCTAGGGAGACTGACACTTGTTTGTGTTTCTTCCATTTGTGAATGATTGCACCAACTGTTGTCACCTTCTCACCAAGCTGCTTGGCCATAGTTTGGTAGCCCAGTCCAGCCTTGTGTAGGTCTACCATCTTGTCCCTGACATCCTTGGACAGCTCTTTGGTCTTTGCCATGGTGGAGAGTTTGGAATCTGATGGTTTGATGGCTCCTGTGGACAGGTGTCTTTTATACAGGTAACACAATGAGATTAGCAGCACTCCCTTTAAGAGACTGCTTCTAATCTCAGCTTGTTACCTGTATGAGAGACACCTGGGAGCCAGAAATCCTGCTGAATGATAGGGGATCAAATCCTTCTTTCCCTCATGAACATGCAGATCCGTCATCATTTGTTAGACGCATTTCTGCTGAATTTGTTGTTGTATTCTGTCTCTCAGTGTTACACCGAACATTCCATTGTTAGACCGATCGTTTCTGTGTGAGGGGCGAACATTCCATTGTTAGACCGATCATTTCTGTGTGAGGGGCGAACATTCCATTGTTAGACCGATCATTTCTGTGTGAGGGGTGAACATTCCATTGTTAGACCGATCATTTCTGTGTGAGGGGCGAACATTCCATTGTTAGACCGATCATTTCTGTGTGAGGGGCGAACATTCCATTGTTAGACCGATCATTTCTGTGTGAGGGGCCAACATTCCATTGTTAGACCGATCATTTCTGTGTGAGGGGCCAACATTCCATTGTTAGACCGATCGTTTCTGTGTGAGGGGCCAACATTCCATTGTTAGACCGATCGTTTCTGTGTGAGGGGGAACATTCCATTGTTAGACCGATCATTTCTGTGTGAGGGGGCCAACATTCCATTGTTAGACCGATCATTTCTGTGTGAGGGGCCAACATTCCATTGTTAGACCGATCATTTCTGTGTGAGGGGGAACATTCCATTGTTAGACCGATCATTTCTGTGTGAGGGGGAACATTCCATTGTTAGACCGATCATTTCTGTGTGAGGGGGAACATTCAGCATCAGAGGGGAGCAAATACACATTTCCTGCACTGTAGATGATATATTTAGAATGGAATATAGAAAATAGTTATTATTATATATAATATTGTGTATATATAATACAATGATACAATCCCGGATATATAATATTGATACAATCCCGGCACATTGATGTACGGAGGATATTGATACAATACACAGAGATACAAAGACGTGTTTCCTTCATGTTCCCGGCTTTATCTGACGTTGCTGAGACATCCCATGTGGTCTGTCATCTCAGCCTTGTCCTGTATTGTGGGGACACCTCTCATCCTCATTAGCATCCCTGCTAATGAGGAGTTGGAATTTCCCGTATTCGTCGGGTCGATTGTCCCTGAGATCGTCTCACTCACTGGATTCCCATTGCAGACACAATTGGGTCGATACCCTTCATTTGTATATTGAGGATTTTATTTCTGACTTTTATATTTGCATTTATAGACCTGATGAAGGGGGGGATATTTGGCCCCTGAAACGTGTTGGGGGGGTCGGGGGGGCAGTCATTGAACAATGAAATCATTTTGAACTCTTTGGTGGTGAATGGAGGAGGGCTCTCTATGGTGCCCTTGGAAGAGGAGCCTCATCCCATCTGATCAGTCATCTCACCCTGCGCTGATGGTGACGGCCCAGCTCCTCTCTGCGCTGACGGTGACGGCCCAGGCTCCTCTCTGCGCTGACGGTGACGGCCCGGCTCCTCTCTGCGCTGACGGTGACGGCCCAGCTCCTCTCTGCGCTGAAGTTTGTGTACATAGTCTGAGTGACCTCAGAAGGGGAGCCCCGTCCCCTCACAGCACTCATCTCACCCGACATTTCTAGTGTTTTGGTGGGGTGACGGCCCAGCTCCTCTGTGCTGATGGTGATGGCCCAGCTCCTCTCTGTGCTGTTTGTGTACATAGTCTGAGTGACTTTCCATGGTGTTCTTGGAAGAGGGAGCCCCATCCCCTCACAGCGCTCATCTGACCCAAGATGTCTAGTGTTTCAGTGTGGTGACGGCCCAGCTCCTCTCTGCGCTGATGGTGACGGCCCAGCTCCTCTCTGCGCTGATGGTGACGGCCCAGCTCCTCTCTGCTCTGATGGTGACGGCCCAGCTCCTCTCTGCGCTGATGGTGACGGCCCAGCTCCTCTCTGCGCTGATGGTGACGGCCCAGCTCCGCTCTGCGCTGATGGTGACGGCCCAGCTCCTCTCTGCGCTGATGGTGACGGCCCAGCTCCTCTCTGCGCTGATGGTGACGGCCCAGCTCCTCTCTGCGCTGATGGTGACGGCCCAGCTCCTCTCTGCGCTGATGGTGACGGCCCAGCTCCTCTCTGCGCTGATGGTGACGGCCCAGCTCCTCTCTGCGCTGACGGTGACGGCCCAGCTCCTCTCTGCGCTGACGGTGACGGCCCAGCTCCTCTCTGCGCTGATGGTGACGGCCCAGCTCCTCTCTGCGCTGACGGTGACGGCCCAGCTCCTCTCTGCGCTGACGGTGACGGCCCAGCTCCTCTCTCCTCTATAATTACAATCATCTTTGTCTTCCTGCAGAGAAGGGGATTCTCAGAGCCGCCTTCCCTGACAAAGATCACATTTCACCCAGGAATGTGTGGATTCCGGAGGGATTGGGTTAACCCCTGACCTGCCTCGGCCTTGTCCAGCTCCGGATTGCAGGTTTTCTCTTTCTCAGGATCAGTTTACACCCACTGAGCGTTCTGCTTCCAGGATGGGGGGGGGGATCCTCATGAATAAATAATGAGCGGGGTGCTGTCACAGCAAAGTCCTGAGGTCAGAGGGACATTGCACATCACCTGGGATGGGGGGACAAATGATAGACACTTCTGACCGAAATCTGTCCAAAGGAAATATAATTTCTGCCAAGTGTGTGGCCGGGGCCAAGTGGACTCGTCTGCCATTTCCAGAGCCCCGGAGGGGCAGCAGCTTTCTGCTACGGAGTCAGAAGTTCTGCTTTTCCACTGCAGATTACTCAGCGATGATGATATGAACCAGCCATTTCCCCTTCGTTTCACTTTGCAACCCGCGTTCCTGTCTCACAGCCAGTCATTATTAGACAACTGTCACTTCTTCTGCTGTAAAGTTGTAAAATGTGTGTCATCTTCAGCTGGGAGGTTTTTATGTAGAGCAATAAACTGACTCCACGCCACAGCGAATCCCTTTAAAGTAGTCGATGCGTCATTGCGTAATCCACGGCCCATAAAGTGAGGAGCAAATGGGCCGTGGCCATTAATGTGGAATTGATCCCCCCCCCCCCCTCATGGCCATTGATATTGAGTTGTCGTTCGAGTTGTCGTCCCCTATGGCCATTAATATTGAGTTGTCATCCCCCATGGCCATTGATATGGAGTTGTCATCCACCATGGCCATTGATATGGAGTTGACCCCTCTTGTATGGCCTTGGTGAACATGGCGCTCTTCAACTTTGACTCCATGGCCTTGGTGAACATGGCGCTCTTCAACTTTGACTCCATGGCCTTCGTGAACATGGCGCTCTTCAACTATGATGACTCCCTGGCCTTGGTGAACATGGTGCTCTTCAACCATGATGACTGTATGGCCCAACATGGCGCGCTCTTCAACCATGATGACTGTATGGCCTTGGTGAACATGGCGCTCTTCAACCATGATGACTGTATGGCCTTGGTGAACATGGCACTCTTCAACTATGATGACTGTTGGCCTTGGTGAATGGTGCTGGATGACTCTGCTGAACATGGTGCTCTCAACTATGATGACTCTCTGGCCTTGGTGAACATGGTGCTCTTCAACTATGATGACTCTCTGGCCTTGGTGAACATGGTGCTCTTCAACTATGATGACTCTCTGGGCCTTGGTGAACATGGTGCTCTTCAACTATGATGACTCTCTGGCCTTGGTGAACATGGTGCTCTTCAACTATGATGATGGTCTTGGTGAATATGGTGCTCTTCAACCATGATGACTCTCTGGCCTTGGTGAACATGGCACTCTTCAACTATGATGACTGTATGGCCTTGGTGAACATGGCGTTCTTCAACTATGGACTCCCTGGCCTTGGTGAACATGGTGCTCTTCAACTATGATGACTCCTGGCCTTGGTGAACATGGTGCTCTTCAACTATGATGACTCCCTGGCCTTGGTGAACATGGTGCTCTTCAACTATGATGACTGTATGGCCTTGGTGAACATGGTGCTCTTCAACTATGATGACTCCCTGGCCTTGGTGAACATGGTGCTCTTCAACTATGATGACTGTATGGCCTTGGTGAACATGGTGCTCTTCAACCATGATGACTCCCTGGCCTTGGTGAACATGGCGCTCTTCAACCTTTTTGACTCCCTGGCCTTGGTGAACATGGCGCTCTTCAGCTTTAATGCCTCTCTGCCTTGGTGAACAAGAACAGATGCACACCTTGTACACCAACAAGCTTGCCCACTTGAACTTCTTTGGTGAGCCCAAGGAGTTGTATAGTACCGTTCATGGGTGTGGGGGAAGGGGGGGGGGTGTGTTAGGTGGGCTGTAAGTGGCCCCTATGATAAAGTGACCAATGAACACAAGACCTATTTCCAGTGATTTTACTTATGAATGTTCTTCTTCGCTCTGACCATTCTGTTTCTATTTTCAGGATAATGTCAAAACCTTACGCCTGACTCTACGGGAGGAGCACTCCCCAGAGAGGACGGAGACCATCAAAGTGAAGGTGAGGACCCAGAGACTGGGAGGGGGATCAGGGACATAGTGGGGGGAGGATGTGTTTGATCGCAATCTCCTTCCAAAAATACCACCGGTATGACGCATTCAGTGTCCTGCTGATGACATCGTAGCCGTCTGTTGACATTTTTGTCCAGTTTGTCACCCAATCGGCCTTTGGAGAGGCATCCAAATATATCTCCCGGCTCAAGTGACACGGGGACCCCCAGCGTAAACAGCTGTCACTATTTCTCTCTTTTTTTGTATGTCTGCAGCCGGTTGGACGCGCCTTCGCTCTCATATCATCCCGACCAACGCGGAGCTCTCGGCCTCTGAATTCCGAACTAATCAAGTCCAGCGATGGCGATGAAGAGATCATTAAGGTAATGGCCCCCTTGTGCCTCCAGACTGACAAATGCGATTTTCACGGGAGATGATTATTTCATGGAACTGCTCGGTGTGGTGTGTGGTGTCATAAAGATAAAGGAGTCCTCTACCCGATGTTCCAACAACAGGATCTTTCTGCAGTAATCCCTGGTACCGGGGAATATAGGATGTTCAGACCCACCATTGTGTGTTCCACATCATCCTCTTCCATTCCCCATAAAAAAAAATGGTGGGATAGTGGGAGAACATTTTAATGGGAACAGCAGGTGTAAAGACCTGGGAACTCAGGACAGGGATTGTGGGAACCCACTCATAATGGGCACAGCAGGTTTACAGACCTGGGAACTCAGGACAGGGATGGTGGGAACCCCTCATAATGAGCACAGCAGGTGTACAGACCTGGGAACTCAGGACAGGGATGGTGGGAACCCCTCATAATGGGCACACAGCAGGTTTACAGACCTGGGAACTCAGGACAGGGATGGTGGGAACCTCTCATAATGTGTACAGACCTGGGAACTCAGGACAGGGATGGTGGGAACCCCTCATAATGGGCACAGCAGGCGTACAGACCCGGGAACTCAGAACAGGGATGGTAAGAACCTCTCATAATGGGCACAGTAGGTGTACAGACCTGAGAACTCAGCACAGGGATGGTGGGAACCCCTCATAATGGGCACAGCGGGTGTACAGACCCGGGAACTCAGCACAGGGATGGTGGGAACCCCTCATAATGGGCACAGCAGGTGTACAGACCCGGGAACTGAGCACAGGGATGATGGGAAGCCCTTATAATGGGCACATCAGGTGAACAGACCCGAGAACTTAGCATAAGGATGGTGGGAACCCCTCATAATGGGCACAGTGGGTGTACAGACCCGGGAACTCAGCACAGGGATGGTGGGAACCCCTCATAATGGGAACAGCAGGCTTACAGACTCAGGACAGGGATGGAGGGAACCCCTTATAATGGGAACAGCAGGTGAACAGATCTGGGAACTCAGAACAGGGATGGTGGGAACCCCTCATAATGGGCACAGCGGGTGTACAGACCCAGGAACTCAGCACAGGGATGGTGGGAACCACCTTTATCTATTTTTATGCTGTTCCCATCTCTGCTGAGAGTTGGGTTTATCCTTCCAATAAATCACATCAGACATGATAAATAGAATCTTGAAGGATCAGCTTGTCCCCTTCCTCTGTGTCACCTTCCCGGAACGCGGATCTGGGCGGAGGCCGCCTCCCCAGCCTGTGAATACGATCTGTGCGGATCGGGATTACAGCGTTGTACACAACAGGATATTTATAGTTCCTGAGAGACCGATAACTGGGATCAAATATCGCCGCCAGTCCCCTCCCTGGTATTATTCTGCATCTCAGGAACGCAGGTTGGTGTGGCGTGTTTACGCAGGAGCCTGGAACGCCCGGGAAGGTGTCTTTGTTTACACGAGCCTTAAGGCTCTCCTTGTGCGTTCAAGTTGCTTATTTGCATAGCGATCCTCCTGCTTCACAGCCAGGAGAACCTTTTCTATCCTTCCGACCCCTCACCCGTGTGCTTACATGATCCAAATCGATAGACCCGAGAAACCAGAGCGGTCACACCAACGTGGTACGTTGAGGTGCCTCAGGAATAAAAGTCCCAAATGATGATGAATTTTCCAAAGTTCACCAACATTTTCTATTGATGGGGATCTTCAAAACCTAAACATGGCAACCAATGATAACCCAACGCCGATACTGGCTCTACCTCTGCTGTAATTGTGGTTCTTGTGTCCTCACAGGAAGGGGGGGGTGAAGGCCAAAGCGGAGAACAAAGCCAACCATGAGTGGAACGTCAGCCAACTGAGGAACGAGGTTCGCCATATTCAAGAGGTGATTGAGCCATAAAGTTCTCGAGTGGAACGTCAGCCAACTGAGGCTGGAGAAACTAGGAAGGACCGGGGGGGAGGGGCTAGATAGAGGTTTATCTTGGTAGAGATGAGAACGTAAGACATAATGGAGTGATCTGTGCAGTGGGAGGAGCTTTTACAAACCTAGATAAAGGCTATCATGCCAGGGCTGAGGTGATGCTATGTCCTCGGGAAGACGGAGGTGGTCTTTATTGGTCAGGATGGGTTTAATCTCTTCCATTTCTACAAAAGTGACTGGATATTTCCGTTAAGAAACATTTTTACCGAACCCAAGACCCCATCTAGGGTCCCGCTCACCTGTCCCCCTATTTCAGTTTTCCCTTTCAACTAATCACCCCACCATGACCCCTTCACCAGTCACCCCCTTCTAGGGCCCTCCATCCCACTCACCTGTCCCCCTGATTCAGCTTTCCCTTTCAACTAATCATCCCACCATACCCCTTTACCAGTCACTCCCTTCTAGGGCCCCCATCCCACTCACCTGTTCCCCCGACTCAGCTTCACCAGTCACCTCCCCCCCCCCCCCTTCTAGGCTCCCCATCCTGCTCACCTGTCCCCGACTCAGCTTCACCAGTCACCCCCTTCTAGGGCCCCCATCCTGCTCACCTGTTCCCCTGACTCAGCTTCACCAGTCACCCCCTTCTAGGGCCCCCATCCTGCTCACCTGTCCCCCTGATTCAGCTTTCCCTTTCAACTAATCACCCCACCATGACCCCTTCACCAGTCACCCCCTTCTAGGGCCCCCATCCCACTCACCTGTCCCCCTGATTCAGCTTTCCCTTTCAACTAATCCCACCATACCCCTTTACCAGTCACTCCCTTCTAGGGCCCCCATCCCACTCACCTGTTCCCCCGACTCAGCTTCACCAGTCACCTCCCCCCCCTTCTAGGCTCCCCATCCTGCTCACCTGTCCCCGACTCAGCTTCACCAGTCACCCCCTTCTAGGGCCCCCATCCTGCTCACCTGTCCCCCTGATTCAGCTTTCCCTTTCAATTAATCACCCCACCATGACCCCTTCACCAGTCACCCCCCCCCCCTTCTAGGTTCCCCATCCCACTCACCTGTCCCCCTGACTCAGCTTCACCAGTCACCCCCCCCCCCCCCTTCTAGGTTCCCCATCCTGCTCACCTGTCCCCCTGGCTCAGCTTTCTCTTTGAGCCAGTCCCCATCCCCCCCCAATCTCCCTTCCTCTGCTTTCAACTAGTCACCCCTCCGGCCCTTCCCAGTGTCCCCATCCTAGAAATGGAAGAGATTAAACCCATCCTGACCAGTAAAGACCACCTCCGTCTTCCGGACGTAGGACATAATGAAGTGAACTGCGCAGTGGGAGGAGCTTTTACAAACTTAGATAAAGGCTATCATGCCGTGGTTGAGGTGATGCTATGTCCTCGGGAAGACGGAGGTGGTCTTTACTGGTCAGGATGGGTTTAATCTCTTCCATTACTACAAAAGTGACCGAATATTTCCGTCGAGAAACATTTTTACCGAACACAAAACCCCACCAATTCCCTCGTCGCCAGAAGCTTTCCATCCTGAGTGGAAGCAATCCTCTAACAGCTCGTTAATAATTCATCGTTACATTTTATAAATATATTATGCGCTGAGTTCCTGTGTTTAAACCTTGTTAGTCATCCGGAGATCTGCGACTAATCTAATGGCTTGGGGGGGGGGGAGTGCAGTCTGTGCGTGGTGCATTGTGGGTAGTCATGCCCTCTTCAAACATTTAACAGCTTGCCTCAACTTCTTTCAGGCGAGGACGTCTCTGAAGAATCTCAGAAAAGACCTTGATGGCTCAAAACACGGGCAGGAGGCAGACAAGGTAAACCTGTGTAGGCAAAGTTGGGTGAAGAGTAGAGTAAATCGGATTTTTTTAAGAGTTGGTGTCCACATGTTGGGTGATCCAAATCCACCTTCTTCGGGGCTTCAGACAATAACGAAGGTGCGGTAGAGATAAACCCCATGTCTCTGATTTGGCTTCAATCAATCACTGACTGCCAGCTCTGGACACATCTGGAATCAGCTCCAGACACTTCATGGACTTTGCCCTCATGAATTTGTAGCTTAACTGAAGTTCCTCTTTAGCTTTTAGTCTGTTGGTTCCCCTCATGGTGCTGCCATTCTCCCAACTGATGCTCCACAGCTAATGTTCTGCTGGGTTTTCTGAGTCTGCATTTCCAGTCTGAGGTCCTGCCATCAACCTTTAATGCCACTTGTGTTCCTCCTGGTCTGGATCTTCCAAGCTTGCACCTCCAGTCTGAGGTCCTACCATCAACATCTGCTGGCACTCATGTTCCTCCTGATCTGAATCTTCCAAGTCTGCATCTTCAGTCCAGGTTCTGCCATCAACATCCACTGGAACCTGTGTTCCTCCTCATCTGAATCTTCCAAGTCTGCATCCCCAGTCCAAGGTCCTGCCATCAACATCTACTAGCACTTGTGTTCCTCCTGATCTGGATCTTCCAAGTTTGCATCTTCAGTCCAAGGTCCTGCCATCAACATCTACTGGCACTTGTGTTCCTCCTAATCTGGATCTTCCGTGTCTGCATCTCCAATCCAAGATCCTGCCATCAACATCTACTGGCGCTTGTGTTCCTCCTAATCTGGATCTTCCAGGTCTGCATCTTCAGTCCAAGGTCCTGCCATCAACATCTACTGGCACTTGTGTTCCTTCTAATCTGGATCTTCCAAGTTTGCATCCCCAGTCCAAGGTCCTGCCATCAACATCTACTAGCACTTGTGTTCCTCCTGATCTGGATCTTCCAAGTTTGCATCTTCAGTCCAAGGTCCTGCCATCAACATCTACTGGCGCTTGTGTTCCTCCTAATCTGGATCTTCCAGGTCTGCATCTTCAGTCCAAGGTCCTGCCATCAACATCTACTGGCACTTGTGTTCCTCCTAATATGGATCTCCCAAGTCTGCATCCCCAGTCCAAGGTCCTGCCATCAACATCTACTGGCACTTGTGTTCCTCCTGATCTGGATCTTCCATGTCTGCATCTCCAGTCCAGGTCCTGCCAACAACATCTACTGGCGATTGTGTTCCCCCTGGTCTGGATCTTTGATGTCTGCATCTCCAGTCCAGATTCTGCCATCAGCATCTACTGGCACTTGTGTTCCTCCTGTCCCTTGGCACTATCTGTTCTACTTCCAGAGGTGCTTAGGCCAGGGATACAAGAGAGGCCCCCCTTGTCATTTCAGTCTTCTATCAGGTACCTGACAAGCACTCTGGTGTATGGCTTACATTTCTCCAGGCAGGAGATTATTATCTGAAGCTCTGAAGGTGAGGGACTTGGAGACCTCCTGAAAAATAGTGGACACCAACCTTTTCTAAAATCAAATTATGTCCCTCACAAGAAGTTAAATAATATTTGGAGGTTGGATCATTTTTCTCATAATCTATTCTCTTTCTGAAGGTCTTGTTGTCGGAACATCACAATGGCGTTCGGCACTATGAGGAACCATGGTCGATGTCAAGAGACAGTGATGAGGTGAGAATTTATAGCCATTTGCCCCTTAGTCCACGAGGACCCCAGATGTATTCATGTTTATTCACACGGAACTCTAATCTGTGTTCCCTCAGGAATTTCCCGTGGACAATGGGAAGAACTTACGGGAGACCGCACAGAAGCTGTACGCCAGGCTCCAGGAGACTGAGAAGCGGCACCAGGCTGACCGCAGGTTGTTTGAGGTTAGCTCTCCAGTGCGTTCACTCTGGCTTTTATAGCACCGGCTTTTGGGCCAGTTTTGTGACTCCTTCTCTTGTGAACAGGAAAGGATCAACCAGTGTCAGCAGGAGGCGGAGCAAAACAACCGAGCGCGCAAGCAAGCGGAGGAAACGGCGGGTGAGCGCCAGCGAGAGGTGGAAGAGCTGAGGAGGCTGATGACCAATATGGAGAAGGTAAGAGGAGGATATATACGGGACAATTCAGACAGAAGACTGACCTAGAAAGAAAAGTTGCAGAAATGAGGGTCACCCTGTAGTCCTAATGTACTTCCTGTCTTAAGGTGACAACACTGCTCCTCCATAGATACAGTACAGTGAGTGAGCGTTGTCATCCTAAGACAGGAAGTATGTTAATGGCAGGATCACCGGGTGAAAATAAAGGAAAACAACCTAAAAAAACCCAAGGATTGCAGCTACACACGCGAAGGACTGGTAGGCCTCAATATATTAATTTTGATTCTTGTGATTTGATACGACATGGTCGGTCTTTATCTGTAAGCATATGTTTTCTTGTTACTGCAACGCAATAAATGGTTCAATTTGTTAGAAAACATCGAGTATTTACAAAATGATCGGCAAAAAAAAACGGTCCCAGCCATGGACAGATGTCAATTTCGTGTGCCCACATCGCCGTATTTACACTACAAAGGCAGATGAGTCATTTAGAGTCACCAACTTGCTTGGTCTGTCTGTAGGAACACCAGGACTTGCTGAACAGGATGCAAGAAAATGAGAAGGAGCTGGACGGTCTACGAGGACAGAAAGCGGAAAATGGACCTCTACAGGACAAGTGAGTAAAATTGGGCACTTAAAATTCAGCCCGAATCTGATTTCTGTTTTGGAAGTAGCTAAGGAATGGTTTACGCCCCCTGCTGGGTGGAGGACACACGTGGCGGTGAAGCCTGGATGATACTGGTGACAACCTTAGATTTGAAAACTGGAGCCCCAAAATTTCCAGCCTCACAGGCTCTCCCTAATTATTCTGTTCTTGTATTTCAGGTGTCAGGAGCTGGAGAAGACCGTGGCCAATCTGAAAGAGAAGATCCACCACCTGGATGATATGTTAAAGAGCCAACAGCGCAAAGTACGACAGATGATTGAGCAGGTACGTGCAAACCATTTTGAGACAGTCTGACTGCAGTCACGTACAATCGAACAACAGACAGATCCATTATATGGTCAAAGGTATATGGAAACCTGACCATCACACTCAGAAGTATGTGGCCAGAGGTATTATACCCCTCTCCAAATGATGGAGCTCAGGTTGTTTCCACGGGTTCTGTTAATACTCCATCATCCAAAGACATTGTAGACAACTGTGCACTTCCAACCTTGGGGTAACAGTTTGAAGACCCTTTTCTGTTCCAGCATGACCGTGACCTGTGTACAAAGCCAGCTTCATAAACCTATGGATGACCAGTTTGGTGTGGAGGAACTCAAGTGTCCTGCACCTTTGGGCTGAACTGGAACATCACTTGCGAGCCAGGTCTTTTTTTTTTTGTGCCACACATGAGGCCCAACATGTGAGCCATGTTTTTTTTTTTTTTTTCCGTGCCAAACGAGAGGCCCAATGTGTGAACCAAATCTTTTTTTTTTTTTTTTTTTTTTTTTTTTTTTTTTTGGTGCCCAACGTGAGGTCCAACATGTGAGCCAGGTCTTTTTTTGGTGCCAAACATGAGGCCCAATGTGTGAGCCAGGTCTTTGTTTTTGGTGCCCAATGTGTGAGCCAGGTCTTTTCTTTTTTAATTTGGTGCCCAATGTGTGAGCCAGGTCTTTTTCTTGGTGCCTAACGTGAGGCCCAATGTGTGAGCCAGGTCTTTTATTTTAATTTGGTGCCCAATATGTGAGCCAGATCTTTTTCTTGGTGCCTAACGTGAGGCCCAATGTGTGAACCAGGTCTTTTTTTGGGTGCCCAACATGGGTCCCAACGTGTGAACCAGGTCTTTTTTTGGGTGCCCAACATGGGTCCCAACGTGTGAACCAGGTCTTTTTTTGGGTGCCCAACATGTGTCCCAACGTGTGAACCAGGTCTTTTTTTGGGTGCCCAACATGGGTCCCAACGTGTGAACCGAGTCTTTTTTTTTTTGGATGCCAAACGTGAGGCCCAATGTGTGAGCTAGGTCTTTTTTTTGGTGTCAAACGTGAGGCCCAACATGAGTCTTCTCATCCAACATCAGTTTCTAAGCTCACAAATAGGATAAATTCCAACAGACACCCTTCAAAATCTTGTGGAAAGGCCTCTCAGAAGGGTGGAAGATGTTATAGCCACAAAGGAGGGCAACTACAGTATAATGTCCATGGGGGAAGGGGGGAAAACTCCAAATAATGGTCATGAATTTTGAACGAAATGTCCAACAAGCTCATGTAGATGCATTGGTGAGGTGTCCACAACTGTTTCTCCATAACGTGTTTTTCAACAAAGGTTGCAAAATTATTCACCCGTGGAAATGTTTGAAATCTGACTTTGCACCGAGTTTCTGCACTCCGGCTGAGAGCTGAAATCTGCCTCACAGTGGGAGTGGTTGTTTTTGTAAGCTGACGGACAGAAGGGGGGGTGATACTTAGGCACTAAGGGTGCTCAGGGAGGGTGTGACGAGTGTGGTTTTGATCAGTAGTAAAGACATCGCCGGAACAAGGTGATCTAGCACCCAGGGCGAAGATGCCAGATGGCGCCCCTCAAAATGTATGAGCATGTGTCAGAAAAAAATTCCCTCCCCCCCCAAAAAAAAATTGAGCATTTATCTTCACACTTACCCTCTAAAGCATGAATTCCCCCTGCAAGCCAAATAAAATTTACCCCCTCTTCTAGCTCAAATCCTCTCCCTCCTGAAATTCCCCCTCCCAGCACAAATCCTCTTCCTCCTGAAATTACCCCTCCTAGCACAAATCCTCTTCCTCCTGAAATTACCCCTCCTAGCACAAATCCTCTTCCTCCCGAAATTCCCCCTTCTAGCACAAATCCTCTCCCTCCCGAAATTCCCCCTCCTAGCACAAATCCTCTTCCTCCTGAAATTCCCCCTCCTAGCACAAATCCTCTCCCTCCCGAAATTCCCCATCCTAGCACAAATCCTCTCCCTGCCGAAATTCCCCCTCCTAGCACAAATCCTCTTCCCCCCGAAATTCCCCCTCCTAGCACAAATCCTCTCCCCCCCCCCGAAATTCCCCCCTCCTAGCACAAATCCTCTCCCTGCCGAAATTCCCCCTCGTAGCACAAATCCTCTTCCCCCCGAAATTCCCCCTTGTAGCACAAATCCTCTTCCCCCCGAAATTCCCCCTCCTAGCACAAATCCTCTTCCCCCCCGAAATTCCCCCTCCTAGCACAAATCCTCTTCCCCCCGAAATTCCCCCTCCTAGCATAAATCCTCTTCCCCTCAAATTTCCCCTCTGAGCATAAATTCCCCCCCAGCACAAATTACCCCCAAATCTCCTCTTAGCAGCAATCCTCCGACCAAATTTCCCATCCTAACACCCCCCCATCATTCCTATTAGCACAAATCTCTAGCAACCGCCCCTCCTGCCCACCCCTTGTCCCAGCCCTGAGTAAGGATGAGGAGGACTAATGACCGTTTGGGAAGTGTGGCCCCAAAAAATGTCATGCTGGAGCGGGCTTCCACCGGTGATGAACAGGTTCCATTCCAGACGTTAATTTTTAAGGTCTTCTGTTGTGTCCACAGGTGCAGAACTCCCGCACAGCCGCACAAGAGAAGGACTCTCTCATCCAGGAATTACGGGAGAAAGTCTCCTGGCTTCAGGCAGAGGTAAGAGGCAGGCCTGCATTGATCCCTCCGTCGGATTTCTGCTCCAGAAAGTCTAATCCCATCATTTGTGACTCATAAGCCACGGATCCTCCTTCGTCTGTTATGACAGCCCTGCCCAAATATCTTCCCTTTTTTTTATACGCTGTAGAATGACCTAATTCTTGTTTTGTTTTTCTAGAACCTGGAACTACAGGACAAACTGGAACACTTTCTATCCACCCAACCAGGACACGCAACCCAGCTGCCGAGGGCTTACGCCAGACCCAACGTACATAATTTGTAGGTATTCTAAAAAACAGATTCTTCTGTGTCTTGGTGTTCCAGTTATGGTTGCTTCTTTTTGGCCGTGGTGGGTGTGGTGGAATCAAAGAGAAATTTTTGGTGTTCCAGTCATGGTTGCTTCTTCTTGGCTGTGGTGGATGTGGTGGTATCAAAGAGAAATTTTTGTTGTTCCAGTCATGGTTGCTTCTTCTTGGCCGTGGTGGGTGTGGTGGTGTCAAAGAGAAATTTGCATTTGTGTCCGTTTTGAAGACCTTCTCAGTATCTGTGAAGCGTGTGACAAGCATTGTCCATCTTTCATCACTTGTCTTGAACGTGTCCCCTAAAAATGTTGGGAGTTAGAACCAAAGTGGTGGCATTAGATCTGCAACCGAAATAATCTATTCCTTTGGCCTTCTGAGTGGCAACATCTTCCAGAAGCATGCTTGTCTACAAAACCGTTGTTAGGCTAGCCCCGTGGTTTCTCAAGTGGGAGGCTCCATGGAAGGAAGGGGGTGAGGGTTTCTCAAGTGGGAGGCTCCATGGAAGGAAGGGGGTGAGGTTTTCTCAAGTGGGAGGCTCCATGGAAGGAAGGGGGTGAGGGTTTCTCAAGTGGGAGGTCCATGGAAGGAAGGGGGTGAGGGTTTCTCAAGTGGGAGGCTCCATGGAAGGAAGGGGGTGAGGGTTTCTCAAGTGGGAGGCTCCATGGAAGGAAGGGGGTGAGGGTTTCTCAAGTGGGAGGCTCCATGGAAGGAAGGGGGTGAGGTTTTCTCAAGTGGGAGGCTCCATGGAAGGAAGGGGGTGAGGGTTTCTCAAGTGGGAGGCTCCATGGAAGGAAGGGGGTGAGGGTTTTCAAAAGTGGGAGGCTCCATGGAAGGAAGGGGGTGAGGTTTTCTCAAGTGGGAGGCTCCATGGAAGGAAGGGGGTGAGGTTTTCTCAAGTGGGAGGCTCCATGGAAGGAAGGGGGTGAAGTTTTCTCGAGTGGGAGGCTTCATGGAAGGAAGGGGGTGAGGGTTTCTCGAGTGGGAGGCTCCATGGAAGGAAGGGGGGGTGATGGTTTCTCGAGTGGGAGGCTCCATGGAAGAAAGGGGGGGTGATGGTTTCTCGAGTGGGAGGCTCCATGGAAGGAAGGAGGGGCGAGGGTTTCTGGAGTGGGAGGCTCCACGGGAGGAAGGGGGCGAGGGTTTCTGGAGTGGGAGGCTCCACGGGAGGAAGGGGGCGAGGGTTTCTGGAGTGGGAGGCTCCACGGGAGGAAGGGGGCGAGGGTTTCTGGAGGGGGAGGCTCCACGGAAGGAAGGGGGCGAGGGTTTCTGGAGGGGGAGGCTCCACGGAAGGAAGGGGGCGAGGGTTTCTGGAGGGGGAGGCTCCACGGAAGGAAGGGGGCGAGGGTTTCTGGAGGGGGAGGCTCCACGGAAGGAGGCGAGGGTTTCTGGAGGGGGAGGCTCCACGGAAGGAAGGGGGCGAGGGTTTCTGGAGTGGGAGGCTCCACGGAAGGAAGGGGGCGAGGGTTTCTGGAGTGGGAGGCTCCATGGAAGGAAGGGTGTGAGGGACATCTCCAGCCTTACCACTGTGGATAGCTGTACGCACACATTCCGCTGCCAGAGGAGACCAGTTTCTCTGTAAAGGATGGAGGTCACCCTTACTTGGTGTTAGGCGCGCACGGAAGAGACCTTGAAAGCAACCCACGGGGAAAGTCGCCAGGTCTGTCACCTGGACTGAATCATGCAGCTAACGCAAAGCATTGGTAGCAGGGAGGTCCTTCCACTAGAGGCCCTCAGACACCGCTTTCTCTCCAGCAAGGAGAACAGTGATCAGCACAGTAATGACATCACCAAATCTCAGCCCAGAATCTCCAGAGACAAGCAGTCAGAGGCAGCAATGCCTTAGATCTGGGGTCTCCAAACTTTGCAAGCAAAGGGCCAATTTATTGTCCTTCAGACTTTAAGTGGGTCGGGCTGTGGCCAACGGGAGTAGAAAATGCCCCTGGCACCACTGAGAAAAATTATTGTTGATAGAAAAATTACATATCGCCTGAGGTCAGTAGCAGAAGGAATAGTGCCCCATCATTGGTGTCAGTGGGAGGAATAGTGCCCCGTCATTGGTGTCAGTGGGAGGAATAGTGCCCCGTCATTGGTGTCAGTGGGAGGAATAGTGCCCCGTCATTGGTAATAGTGGAAAGAATAATACCCCATTGTTGGTGACAGTGGAGGGAATAGTGGTCTATCTTTGGTGTCAGTGGGAGGATTAGTGTCCCATCATTGGTGTCAGTGGAGGGAATAGTAGTCTATCTTTGTTGTCAGTGGGAAGAAAAGTGCCCCATCATTGGTGTCAGAGGGAGGAATAGTGCCCCGTCATTGGTAATAGCGGGAGGAATAATACCCCATCATTGGTGTCAAGAGGAAGGAATGGTGCCCTATTGTTGGTGTCAGTGGGAGGAATAGTGCCCCATCCTTGGTAATAGTGGGAAGAATAGTGCTACATCATTGGTGTCAGTGGGGATTAGTGCCCCATCATTGGTGTCAGTGGGAGGATTAGTGCCCCATCATTGGTGTCAGTGGGAGGATTAGTGCCCCATCATTGGTGTCAGTGGGAGGATTAGTGCCCCATCATTGGTGTCAGTGGGAGGATTAGTGCCCCATCATTGGTGTCAGTGGGAGGATTAGTGCCCCATCATTGGTGTCAGTGGGAGGATTAGTGCCCCATCATTGGTGTCAGTGGGAGGATTAGTGCCCCATCATTGGTGTCAGTGGGAGGATTAGTGCCCCATCATTGGTGTCAGTGGGAGGATTAGTGCCCCATCATTGGTGTCAGTGGGAGGATTAGTGCCCCATCATTGGTGTCAGTGGGAGGATTAGTGCCCCATCATTGGTGTCAGTGGGAGGATTAGTGCCCCATCATTGGTGTCAGTGGGAGGATTAGTGCCCCATCATTGGTGTCAGTGGGAGGATTAGTGCCCCATCATTGGTGTCAGTGGGAGGATTAGTGCCCCATCATTGGTGTCAGTGGGAGGATTAGTGCCCCATCATTGGTGTCAGTGGAAAGAATAGTGCCCCATCACTGGTGTCAGTGGTAGGAATAGAACCCATTATTGGTGTCCGTTGAAGGAATAGTGCCCCGTCATTGGTAATAATTGTAGAGAATAGTACCCCATCATTGGTGTCAGTGGAAGGAATAGTACCCCATCATTGGTGTCAGTGGAAGGAATAGTACCCCATTGTTGGTGTCAGTGGAAGGAATAGTACCCCATCAGTGCTGTCAGTGGAAGAAAAAGTGCCCTATCGTTGGTGTCAGTGGAAGGAATAGTACCCCTTCATTGGTGTTAGTGGGAGGAACAGTGCCCCATCCTTGGTAATAGTGGGAAGAATGGTACCCCATCAGTGCTGTCAGTGGCTCGTGGTTTGGAATGATGGCTCATGGTTGGTGTCAGTAGGAGGAATAACACCTCGTATCAGTAGACGAGAAATTGCCCTAAGGGCCTGATAAAGGCAAGCAAAGGGCCACAGTTTGGAGACCGCAGCCTTAGATGATCTCACACCACAGACTTACATCTACGAGGCTACAGAACATGAGTGCCTAGGCACAGAAAGGGCACTGCTACTTTGGGTAGAGTTTTCCAGGGTCCTAACATTTCTAGATGTTCCCCATAACATCTCAAATCTTCACTTTTTGGGTTCAAGTCCTCTTCAATGTCACTTCTGCAATGATCTCTCGAAATATTTGTTCCTTCTGAGGTCACATCTAACACCCTTCCTCTCTCTCTCTCTCTATAGCAAGCGAGTGTACCTTCCGGCTGGAGCGGGCCGGCCTCAGCCACTCATCAAGCTGGTGGAGACATGAGCTGAAGGTGGCGTGCGATGATGCAGGCGTCTGTCGTGTTCCACGTGAGCAGCCGGTGGCCTGACGGAAAGGACCGTACGGATTGCCTTTTTCGAAGACTATCGCCTGGTCGAGCCTCTACTCTGCGGCTGTGCCCTGGAGTACGGGACGAATTTTACTCAACCCTTCTAACCATCCTATAGACGATAATTTATACCTCCCCAGTTGGTTTTTAGGACTCTTCTAGTTAAATGCATTCTCGTTGACGACCTTTCCTCTCGAGACGCCTCCTACTTTGGAGCACCGAGGATGGACCTTCCGTGTTTTTGAACGCTGCATTTTGGGGGCGACAAACCGTTGCCTTAAACTTATCAGCAAAACCAAAGATTCTTCGAGACCCGATGAGCTGGAAGTCACCCAACGCTGGGCTGCATCTCAAAGTCTCCCTCAACAGATGAGATTCTTCTGAACCTGAAGAAACCGAAAAGTCCCGAGCGAGGATTTTAACTACGTCTGAACTAGATGACTATCAGGAGTGACAGGCGGCGGTGGGGGGGGGGGGGGAAGGGGAAGCCCCAGGGGAGCGTATGGAATGTTTTGTCCCTGTTTTGTGCCGCTAGATGTCTCGTTTTGGGTGTTGCATAAGTGCGCACGCCTCTGTCTGGCCTCGGCTTTGTACCCTGAAATACAGGTTATAGAATTTGGTAAGGTTCCAGCTTCTCCATTTGACTAAGCTCCCCAGAGGCTCGGTACAAATGCCACCTCGAAGCTCCATCTAGAACGTCATAGGTGCTATTTTTTTTTTTTTTTTTTTGGTGTCTACTGACTGAAGGAAAGGTAACACCCAAAACTGGGAGAGCCTCCAACGTTCCTGCACTTTGACTGTTCGCTATCTCATGGTCTGCTGTGCCTTACGTGAGGCAGATCTCACGTCGTAGGGCTCTTGTTGGTAGGAATCGATGAGGTTCAGGTCCTGTGGCTTTCCAGCTCTTGAGGAACTTCATGTCCCAACCTACATTCCTCTGCTTGGGAAATAAATTTCCACCTCGTATGGAGATCCAAAGGCTACTTATTAAGGACAGCTACTTCCACGGGACCACCGAACCTAAAACAAAAAGGCCCTGATTTATTAAGCTGTGATATTACCTAGGACAGCCATTATCAGCCAGGGTTCTTTGGAGCACTAGGGTTCCTCCAGTGGTGGCTCTGAGTTCCTTGAGCTGTGGCTAACCAACCTCCCATGTAATGGTGCCTGCAAAGTTCCAGGTCTAACATCACTTTGCAGAGCCAGTGGCATGACTCGAACGGTGGCAATCTGACCACCACTGTAAGGAGGGCATTCTTCCCGCTGACCACCACCAATGTAAGGGGCATTTTTCCAATGCCCACCAATGGACTAATCTTAGAAGGGGTTTCCTGAGACCTGAAAATTATTGCAAGGGTCCCTTTGGGGTAAAACTGCTGAGAAAGGCCACGGAGTCTACATCACGGCGACTCTCAGGGCTGGTGTGCAGCGACATGGCCAGCTCGTGTCAACCGAAAAAGGTGAAGTCCTGATGCCATGGCCTTGTTAGCACATGCTAGAACAAGCTGGACATGCTTGTACTGCAGGTCCTAGTGCCGCCATTCTTAACTAGGGTTCCGTAGAACCCTAGGAATCCTCCGAAGGTTGTTAGGGGTTCCTTGATCTGTGGCTGATTGGCCTCCCAAGTGATGGTGCCTGCATAGTTTTGGGTTCGGTGCCAATTGGCAGAGCCAGAAACAAGACACCAATTAGCCTTCTTCTCCCTGGCCACCAATGTAAGGCCTTCCTCCCACCGACCATTACTATAAGGTGGACATTCTTCCCACTGACCACCAATGTAAGGGACGTTCTTCCCACTGACCTCCAATGTAAGGGACGTTCTTCCCACTGACCCCCAATGTAAGGGACGTTCTTCCCACTGACCACCAATGTAAGGGACGTTCTTCCCACTGACCCCCAATGTAAGGGACCCCACTGACCCCCAATGTAAGGGACGTTCTTCCCACTGACCACCAATGTAAGGGACGTTCTTCCCACTGACCACCAATGTAAGGGACGTTCTTCCCACTGACCTCCACTGACCGTTCTTCCAACCCCCCAATGTAAGGGACGTTCTTCCCACTGACCACCATGTAAGGGACATTCTTCCCCACTGACCACCAATGTGTAAGGGGCATTCTTCTCACTGACCAGCAATGAAAGGGACGTTCTTCCCACTGACCTTCAATGAATGAATCACAGGGGTCCCCTGAAGCCTGCAGAGAAAAGGAGGAGACCCACAAGAGATAACAAGGAATGGGCCACCACTTTTTATTGTAGGGTTTAAATGCTAAAACGGCATGCGAATGACATTGGCCTCAAGGCCATTTTAGCATGCCTTAAGCACTTCTTACGTGATACTGAAGCTTGATGTATCAGCCTTAATGGCCTGAGAGCTGTAGATACATCCTCGGAGGAGGAGGTCATCCAAAGGGTTAGTTGGGTGGAGGAGGATGGGAAAGATGGAGATACATCCTCGGGAGAAAGGTCATCCAAGTGGTTTGTTGGGTGGAGGATGGGAAAGATGGAGATACATCCTCGGAGGAGAAGGTCATCCAAGTGGTTTGTTGGGTGGAGGATGGGAAAGATGGAGATACATCCTCGGAGGAGAAGGTCATCCAAGTGGTTTGTTGGGTGGAGGATGGGAAAGATGGAGATACATCCTCGGAGGAGAAGGTCATCCAAGTGGTTTGTTGGGTGGAGGATGGGAAAGATGGAGATACATCCTCGGAGGAGGAGGTCATCCAAAGGGTTTGTTGGGTGGAGGAGGATGGGAAAGATGGAGGAGATACATCCTCGGAGGAGAAGGTCATCCAAAGTGGTTTGTTGGGTGGAGGAGGATGGAAAGATGGAGATACATCCTCGGAGGAGAAGGTCATCCAAGTGGTTTGTTGGGTCGAGGATGGGAAAGAAGTAGATACGTCCTCGGGGGAGAAGGTCATCCAAATGGTTCGTTGGGTGGAGGATGGGAAAGAAGTAGATACGTCCTCGGGGGAGAAGGTCATCCAAATAGTTCATGGTTGGGTGGAGGATGGGAAAGATGGCGATACATCCTCGGAGGAGAAGGTCATCCAAGTGGTTCGTTGGGTGGAGGAGGATGGGAAAGCTGTAGATACATCCTCGGAGGAGAAGGTCATCCAAATGGTTTGTTGGGTGGAGGAGGATGGGAAAGATGTAGATACATCCTCGGAGGAGAAGGTCATCCAAATGGTTTTGTTGGGTGGAGGAGGATGGGAAAGATGTAGATACATCCTCGGAGGAGAAGGTCATCCAAGTGGTTCGTTGGGTGGAGGAGGATGGGAAAGATGTATGTAGATACGTCCTTGGAGGAGAAGGTCATCCAAGTGGTTCGTTGGGTGGAGGAGGATGGGAAAGATGTAGATACGTCCTCGGAGGAGAAGGTCATCCAAGTGGTTTGTTGGGTGGAGGAGGATGGGAAAGATGTAAAGGGACCAATCTTTTGGGGAACTCAAAGGTCCAACAGAACCGGGACAAGGTCCTTGGGCATCGAAGGTGAGAAGGTCAAATTACCACCACCCCCCCCCCCCCCCCCCGCTCTTTCCATATGAGCTGTGGACTACTTCAGGTAGTCCTCAGGTTTCACCCCCTCCTGCAAAAGTGCCCAAGGCAACCACCTCATCTGCCTACCCCTTGGCCCGGCCCGAACCCTAGCCACCCACTAGGACTCCCGTGTGTCCCATCCGTGGCCAGAAATGTTCTGCAGGACATTTTTCTTTTAGGTCTGGTGGTCCCAGAGAGGAAAAAGGGCTTTACGGGACCTCCGTTTCGGTTCCTGCCGTGTGTGATGCCGATTTTCCAGATCTTCCACCAACTTGATACCGCTGTCGATATTTAGGGAACTTGAAAAGCACTGCTCCCTGTATATTACCTCCCCCACCCTTCCCCTCCCCCAACACCTTGTATGTATTTATTGTGGGTCTCCTGGCCTTCGGCTGTAATATACATAGAAATAAAACCATCGTATTTAATGAGCTGTGTGGTGAAGCCTCCTGATTGGTGGAGAGCGGCGGGAGAGACGGCGGAATGTCTGATGTTTTATATAAATAGAGCCGTGTGTATGTGTGTGGTGTGTGAACACGTGTTGTGGGAGGGGCTGGGTTATGAGCGCCGGGGACAAGTATGTGCATGACCGCCGTGTGTGGGAAGCCAGGCTGAGCCCAGGCAGTTTCGTCTGATACACGCCCCGTATAATGAGAGGATGACGCACGCCGCAACCCCCGACAAGGCCAAGGCCCATCGCAGACCTCAGCCCCCCTCACTGGGCAGAGACCCCATAGAGAGGCAAATGGCGAGATTCCCCCAGTCGTTGTGTGTCTGCCCCTCCCACAATGAAATTCCCCAGTAGTTTGTCTCTGCCCCTCCCACAATGGGGAGATTCCCCCCGTAGTTTGTGTCTCTGCCCCTTCCACAATGGGGAGATCCCCCCAGTAGTAGTTGTCTCTGCCCCTCCCACAATGGGGAGATTCCCCCAGTTGTGTCTCTGCCCCTCCCACAATGGGATTTCCAGCAGTAGTTTGTGTCTCTGCCCCTCCCACAATGGGGAGATTCCCCCCAGTACTTTGTGTCTCCGCCCCTCCCACAATGGGGGAGATCCCCCAGTAGTTCTCTGCCCCTCCCACAATGTGGAGATTTCCCCCAGTAGTTTGTGTCTCCGCCCTCACAATGGGGAGATTCCCCCCAGTAGTTGTCTCTGCCCCTCCCACAATGGGGAGATTTCCCCCCAGTAGTTTCTCGGCCCCTCCCACAATGGGGAGATTCCCCCACAAACCCAAAACAAAGGTGTCCTGTCTTACAGCTGGCTGCCCCAGGTACCTATACTACCTTTGGTGTCTGGGGGGAGGGGACACCGGGGGGGACCCCATTATCTGGGCTGTACAGGCTCTTGTAGGACACACCAGGGACCTCCAGAAGGCGATATCTTTTCCCGTAGAGATCCAAGATGGCGGCCTGTGACCTGGTGACCGCCTAGTATCCTGAAGTCACATGACCACCTTCCTACATGGCAGCATGGAGACAACTGCTGTTCCTGGGCCGAAGTTCCTGCCACTCTGGTCTGCAAAGCTTGCACTCTAATCCTGTCTGTTCATTCCGGAGCACCCCGGGGGCAGGGAGGGGCCACATCAAAGGACTGGGTGGGGCTGACTCATAGGAGGGACCTGATTACAGTCTCCCCCCTGCTGGTTGTCTGAGGTATAGCACCTTACAGTACTCAGAATGGTCCCCCCCCCCCCTCCCCGCTGGTTGTATGAGGTATAGCACCTTACAGTACTCAGAATGGTCCCCCCCTGCTGGCTGTCTGAGGTATTACACCTCACAGTACTCAGAATGGTCCCCCCGCTGGTTGTCTGAGGTATTGCACCTTACAGTACTCAGAGTGGTCCCCCTGCTGGTTGAGGTATTACACCTTACAGTACTCAAAATGGACCCCCCTGCTGGTTGTCTGAGGTATTGCACCTTACAGTACTCAGAGTGGTCCCCCTGCTGGTTGAGGTATTACACCTCACAGTACTCAGAATGGTCCCCCTGCTGGCTGTCTGAGGTATAGCACCTTACAGTACTCAGAATGGTCCCCCCCTGCTGGCTGTCTGAGGTATAGCACCTTACAGTACTCAGCATGGTCCCCCCCCCCTGCTGGTTGAGGTATTACACCTCACAGTACTCAGAATGGTCCCCCCGCTGGCTGTTTCAGGTATTGCACCTTACAGTACTCAGAATGGTCCCCCCACTGGTTGTCTCAGGTATTGCACCTTACAGTACTCAGAATGGTCCCCCCCGCTGGCTGTCTGAGGTATTACACCTTACAGTACTCAGAATGGTCCCCCCGCTGGTTGTCTGAGGTATTACATCTTACAGTACTCAGAATGGTCCCCCCCCCCTCCCCCTGCTGGTTGTATGAGGTATAGCACCTTACAGTACTCAGAATGGTCCCCCAGCTGGTTGTCTGAGGTATTACACCTTACAGTACTCAAAATGGACCCCCCCTGCTGGTTGAGGTATTACACCTCACAGTACTCAGAATGGTCCCCCTGCTGGTTGTCTGAGGTATAGCACCTTACAGTATTCAGAATGGTCGGTCCCCCTGCTGGCTGTCTGAGGTATTGCACCTTACAGTACTCAGAATGATCCCCCAGCTGGTTTTCTGAGGTATTACACCTTACAGTACTCAGAATGGTCCCCCCCCCCTCCCGCTGGCTGTCTCAGGTATTGCACCTTACAGTACTCAGAATGGTCCCCGCGCTGGCTGTCTGAGGTATTGCACCTTACAGTACTCAGAATGGTCCCCGCTGGTTGAGGTATTACACCTTACAGTACTCAGAGTGGTCCCCCCACTGGTTGTCTCAGGTATTGCACCTTACAGTACTCAGAATGGTCCCCCCCGCGCTGGCTGTCTGAGGTATTACACCTTACAGTACTCAGAATGGTCCCCCCGCTGGTTGTCTGAGGTATTACATCTTACAGTAGTCAGAATGGTCCCCCCCCCCCCGCTGGTTGTATGAGGTATAGCACCTTACAGTACTCAGAATGGTCCCCCAGCTGGTTGTCTGAGGTATTACACCTTACAGTACTCAAAATGGACCCCCCTGCTGGTTGAGGTATTACACCTCACAGTACTCAGAATGGTCCCCCTGCTGGTTGTCTGAGGTATAGCACCTTACAGTATTCAGAATGGTCGGTCCCCCTGCTGGCTGTCTGAGGTATTGCACCTTACAGTACTCAGAATGATCCCCCAGCTGGTTTTCTGAGGTATTACACCTTACAGTACTCAGAATGGTCCCCCCGCTGGCTGTCTCAGGTATTGCACCTTACAGTACTCAGAATGGTCCCCGCGCTGGCTGTCTGAGGTATTGCACCTTACAGTACTCAGAATGGTCCCCGCTGGTTGAGGTATTACACCTTACAGTACTCAGAGTGGTCCCCCCGCTGGTTGAGGTATTACATCTCACAGTACTCAGAGTGGTCCCCCCTGCTGTCTGTCTGAGGTATAGCACCTTACAGTACTCAGAGTAGTAGAGTTCCTCTTTCGGCAAGCACTGGCTACAGAACGCCGGTCCAGGTAAAAAGTAAAATTGCTAAATACCAACCAGTTCTGAATCCTCCCTTCCTGTGGGCTGTGTAGGTCCACCACCTGACACCTTCATACCATGGAGGACATTTATAAACCAGGCGCCTCCCGTTACAGCCAGGGACCACTGGTGTCACCGTCAGAAAACCTGCCCTGAGAAATGCCAGGCAACACGGGGAGTGGCTGCAGGAGATGTCCGTGAGAACAGGGATGCCTATGTTCTTGGTGAAGCTGGTCACATGACCGCTGCCTCAGGGTGGCTCCTTTCTCTTGCACAGTTCTATGGACCCACCTTTGCATGCAGGGATGCTGTGTCTCCCCACACTGTGTATATCAATAGAAACACACAGCCCCACGGCCTAGCCTGTGTGTATCTCCTCCCTTTTCCATGAGCATGCATGGGGCCCCGTAAAAAGGTTTTTCTTCTGAAATGTGGCCCTCTGAGATGGAAGTAGACTTTGGTGGAGCTCCTCCCCCCAGCCACACCTTCCAATGTATATATAGTATACGTACGACACCCTGTGCACACAACACGCGGCTCCCCGCCCTTCCCAGGAATCCTTCATATCGGACTCCGCCCCGGCTGGACTGCTGTACAGGAAGGGGTTAATCATGGAGGTCACAAGGTTGGTGCGCCTTCTCTATATAAGGGGAGGGGCCTTCCTGTATACAGTATGGGAGGAATCTGACACCTTCAAAGGACACAGCAAGAAAGAAGAGAAAGGTTAGAACCCGGTCAGTTCTTCCTCTCAATTCATGTTCTGGAGACGCCACAGGGAGTTAGTTTCCTTTCCTGCCCTGTAGACCCAACAGGAAGTTAGAGGTTCCTTTCCTGCCCTGTAGACCCAACAGGAAGTTAGAGGTTCCTTTCCTGCCCTGTAGACCCACCAGGAAGTTAGAGGGTCCTTTCCTGCCCTGTAGACCCAGCAGGAAGTTAGAGGGTCCTTTCCTGTCCTGGGGATGCAACAGGAAGTTAGAGGTTCCTTTCCTGTCCTGGGGATGCAACAGGAAGTTAGAGGTTTCTTTCCTGTCCTGGGGATGCAACAGGAAGTTAGAAGTTCCTTTCCTGCCCTGTAGACCCATCAGGAAGTTAGAGGTTCCTTTCCTGCCTTGTAGACCCAATAGGAAGTTAGAGGTTCTTCTCCTGTCCTGGGGATGCAACAGGAAGTTAGAGGTTCCTTTCCTGCCCTGTAGACACAATAGAAAGTCATAGGTTCCTTTCCTGCCCTGTAAACAGGAAGTTAGGGGTTAATTTCATGCCCTGGAGATATAATAGGAAGTTAGACGTCCAATTCCTGTCTTATGGATGCAACAGGAAGTTAGAGGTCCATTTCCTGCCCTAGAGACCCAACAGGAAGTTACAGGTTCATTTCCTGTCTTGTGGATGCAACAGGTAGAGGTCCATCTCCTGCCTTGGAGACGCAACAGGAAGTTAGAGGTTAATTTCCTGCCTCGGGGATGCAACAGGCAGTTAGAGGTCCTTCTCCTGCCCTGGAGACCCAACAGGAAGTTAGAGGTTCATTTCCTGTCTTGGGGATGCAATAGGAAGTTAGAGGTCCATTTCCTGTCCCAACAGGGGACGCAACAAAGAAGTTAGAGGTCCATTTCCCGCCCTAGAGACCCAACAGGAAGTTAGAGGTTAATTTCCTGTCTTGGGGACGCAACAAGAAGTTAGAGGTCCATTTCCTGCCCTAGAGACCCAACAGGAAGTTAGAGGTTAATTCCCTGTCTTGGGGATGCAACAGGATGTTCGAGGTTAATTTCCTGCCCTGAAGACACAACAGGAACTTAGAGGTTAATTTCCTGTCTTGTGGATGCAACAGGAAGTTAGAGGTTCCTTTCCTGCCCGGGAGACCAACAGGAAGTTAGTGAGTCATTTCCTGTCCTAGAGACACAATAGAAAGCTAGTGGTTCATATCCTGGCATGGAGACGCAACAGGAAGTTAGAAGTCCATTTTCTGCCCTAGAGACGCAACAGGAAGTTAGAGGTTAATTTCCTGCCCTAGAGACCCAACAGGAAATTAGAGGTTAATTTCCCGCCCTGTAGACCTAACAGGAAGTTAGAGGTTCCTTTCCTGCCCTGAAGACCCAACAGGAAGTTAGTGAGTCATTTCCTGTCTTGGAGACACAACAGGAAGTTAGCAGGCCATTTCCTGCCCTGGAGGCGCAACAGGAAGTTAGAGGTTCATTTCCTGTCATGTGGATGCAACAGGAAGTTAGTGGGTCATTTCCTGTCATATAAACCCAACAGGAAATCAGAGGTTCCTTTCCTGTCCTGGGGATGCAACAGGAAGTTAGAGGTTCATTTCCTGCCCTGTAAACCCAACAGGAAGTTAGAGGTTCATTTCCTGCCCTGTAAACCCAACAGGAAGTTAGTGAGTCATTTTCTGTCCTGGAGATGCAATGGGAAGCTAGTGGTTCATGTCCTGCTTTTGAGATGCAACAGGAAGTTAGAGGCTCCATGTCTTACCCTGGAGACCCAACAGGAAGTTAGAGGCTCCATGTCTTACCCTGGAGACCCAACAGGAAGTTAGAGGTTCATTTCCTGTCCCGGGGATGCGCCATGATCTGAGCATGGATCGCTTTTCAGAGGAGCAGAATGAGCTTCAAAGGCCCCTGGATGGCCCATAGCAAAAATGATACCTGTTGTCACATTCAATGGGCGGGGC